AGTCTTTGTGATGCCAGATTTTCCCCCAGGTCACGCTCTAGCAAGGCAAGGAGCTGCATCCTTCCCATCAGGTATTCTGGCTTAAGGGGATTAGATCCAGGAAGCGTTTTGACGTGTGGACTCCAGCTTTGTCAAAGCCCTGAGTGGGGGGTGGGGCGCTGTGAGAGTCCATTGCTCTTTGTTGCAGCCCCCCCCACAGTCCTTCCATGAAGGCCTCCCAAGTGATCGAGTCTGGCTTAGGTTGCCCCCCTCTGTGAGGGGTCTTATCTGCCATTGACTTCCAACCAAGCTTTGCGGGCAGGGAGAGAAAACTGAGGCAGCGTTTGCTACCAGAGACAGGCTTTGTCTCCTGAGGCTCGTATTCCAAAGGTCGTCCCTGGCCCTTAGCCACAAGGGGTCAAGACACAATTCCTAGAACCAGGCAGAGCGGTCTACAACAATAAATAATTTTATTTTTCTCTTTTACTGGAACTTCGGCTCCTAGAGTAAGCATCTAGCTTGGTAAAAGTCAACTCAAAAGCTCATCCTCACTTAAAAAATGGGCAAAGGATCTGAACAGACATTTCTCCAAATATAGGCAAAGAGCCAATAGACAAAGGCAGAGTTGCAGCATCATTAGCTATCAGGGAAATGCAAATCAAAACCAGAATGAACATACTGCTGTGCGCCCACTCGGATTACTGTACAGTAATGAAAAAGTCAAAAGTCAGGTAACACTTGCTGGTGAGAATGTGCAGAAACTGGACCCCTTGCGCACTGCTGGTAGAAACAGAAAATGGTGCGTCCACTCCGGACAAACAGCCTGCCAGCTCCCCAAAAAGGTAAACAAAGTGTTACCATTTGACGTAGCAATTCTACTTCAAGGTACACATCTGAGAGAATGGAGAGGGAGGGTATGCCCACATGAAAACTTGTATCTTTTCACTAAGAGTGTGAAAAGTTCAGAGCAGCACTATTCACAAGAGCCAAAGGCTGGAAACAGCCCAAGTGTCCACCAGCGATGAATGGATAAAACCTGCTATGCCCGTACGCCGGAACGTCAGTAATGGAGTACTGACGCAGGCTACAACATGGATGAACCTTGAAGACATTATGCCGAGTGAGAGCAGCCAGACCTGAAAGGCCACATACTATATGACTCCATTTCTACAAAATGTCCCTGTTACTACAGGGACATCCATACAGATAGAAAGCAGATTGGTGGTGACTTAGGCCTATGGAAGGTTAGGGGGTTAGAGTGAGAGCTAAAGGGTGAAGGAGTTCTTTCTGAAATGATGAATATGGCCTGAAATTGATCTTGGTGATGGCTGCAAACCCAGTGAATATACTAAAACCACTGAATTGTACGCTTCAGCTTTCTTTTTTTCATTTTGAATTGTATACTTTAAATGGGTGAAATACATGGTATGTAAATTATATCTCAACTTTAAAAAAAATCATCCTCCCCAATTAAAAAAAAATAGGACCTTAGTCCATCTAGATCTAACTTTGTTCATGTTATATCCACTGGACGCGAGAATAATTTTCAAAGACCTTTCAGGGTTTTAATCTTATTTTACTGGCCAAGCTTAACCTGCGCAGGGGCGAACTCTCGGGGTGTCCGGAGACACGGTGCCCAAAAGGGCTGCAGATGAGAGACGCGCCGAGCGCTTACAGCTCAGTCCTTATATAGGGAGGAGCAAGCAAGCGTTGAACAGAAGCAGACGTGGCAGTTAGCTGTTTGCTGACAGAGACCTCACGCAGGAATAGGGTGGGGTTTCAAAATTCAAAACTAAACAGATTACAATCAGCCTGTTTTGCTGTGGTCAGGCTATGTTCTCAATTTCCCAGATCTCAACACTCACTTTATAGACTAGGCACTGAAGCCCAGAGAGGCTAAATGACTTGCCTGAAGCCATTTGTCATTTAGATCCCTGGTCTACTGTCCACTGGCCATGATGTTCTTGCCCGCTCTACAATGCTTCAAGTGAGCTCCCGTGGCTATTTGAACAAAATCACTAGTCACATAAATCCCCTTGGACCTTGCACAACAGTGTAGTTTAGTGTGGATATATTTGTTCTTGCTACTTCATTGTCTCAAAAAAAGGACACTTACGAAGTGGCCAGGCCAAGGTTTCTGCACTTTCACCATCCAGCTGTGTTTTATGACCTTTGATCTAAGGTCAAACACCAATTCACAGGGCGGAGCACAGGCTTGGAGATGAGCAGGCCTGGGTTCAAATCCAGCTTTGTGTGAACTGGACAGCACTATGGACCTTTAGAAACCTCAGGAAATACTGAAGGTATTCTTTATGAGCATAGGAAGATATGTTACATATAATATGCCTGTAACATGTAAAATACATAAACATTATTCCTTCTACATAAGAACAAAGGAGGCCTGCAAAATGAGGCCTTGGAAAGGGCAGTCACACACATTTCCCTGGGAAGAAATTCTCTGCTGGACAGATTTCCACCTGCCACATGCACACATTGGGCAGCGCCTCTTCCCTTTGCAGCCCCGATACATTGTCGTCTGTTCTACGATCCAGGAAGTGTTCTCAAGAACACCACTCAGAAAGAGGAAGAAAAAAGCACCCTGCAGCAGACCCCTGACCACCATGTGCTCAGAGGTACTCGTCTTCCTGGAGAGGGCCAGAACGGCCATGGCAGGACTAGGAGGAAGGAGGAGGAGAGGGTTTGGGGCTAGCAGCCAGACAAAACTGACAGTAACCACCGTCAGACTAAAGCTGGTCCAAAATAGCAGGAAGGGCTGTCTTTGCTCAAGAAAATCCAACGTGGCCCTGGCCATATGGCTCAGATGATTAGAGCATCATCCCATACACCAGAAAGTTGCAGGTTCGATTCCTGGTCAGGGCACATACCTATACTGTAGGTTCAATCTCCAGTCAGGATGCATACAGGAAGCAACCAACCAAAGTTTCTCTCTCTCATAAATGTTTCTCTTTCTCTCTCTCTCAAGTCAATAACAAAATATCCTTGGGTAAGGATTTTTTTAAAATTCTAAAGTGAAAACATTTAAAAGGTCCATTTTTGCCCTGGCTGATGTGGCTCGGTTGGTTGGACTGTTATCCTATAGACCAAAAGGTCACAGGGTTTGATTCCTGTCAGGGCACATGCCTGGGTTTCCAATTACATCCCTGACCAGGGTGTGTACAAGGCAACCAATCCATCTTTCTCTCTTTCTCTCTCACTCTCTCTCCCCCTCCCTTCCCCTTTCTCTAAAAACAATGAAAAAATGTCCTCCCAGTGGGTGAGGATTTAAAAAAAAAAAAGGTCAGTTTTGGGTTACATGGTGCATACAAACTATATTTACTTTCAAATTATTTTTTATTGCTTATATAACATATTTTCATTATTCAATTGACCTAGTTTCCTCTTTGTGAAATTAGTCGGGATCTAACAGTAGGATAAATTGTATCCTAATTTTTCTTATTAAAATACTTAATTTGCCCTGGCTGATGTGGCTAAGTGGATTGAGCGTAGGCCTGCAAACCAAAGGGTCAACAGTTTGATTCCCAGTCAGAGCACATGCCTGGGTTGCCGGCCAGATGCCCAGTTGGGGGCGCACGAGAAGCAGCTACACATTGATGTTTCTCTCCCTCTCCCTTCCTCTCTCTAAAGTAAATAAAAGACATCTTTAAAAAACATGAAATTTCATTTTATTTTTAAGGGGGCAAGGGAGGGAGAAAGAGGGAGAGAAACTTCAATGTGTGGTTACCTCTCGCGCGCCCCCTCCTGGGGACCTGACAGATGAACTGGCGACGCTTTGATTCACAGGCCCGCGCTCAATCCACTGAGCTGCACCAGCCCGGGCTAAAATACTAAATTTAAAAAACCTATTTGTTTTTTATTTACTGACTGGCTACAGAGTTACAAGGTCAGTTTTTAAGATGGCTTGACTGACCTGCGATCCCATGGACGTCTGCAGACTTCTGAAATTTCACATACAGACCTGTCCCACCACAATGGCAGGACTTCTACCCCATAATCAAACGCAATTAATTTGTAGCAATTGCCTAACTAATTTCCACACAGTGTTCTAAGACACAGTGGGAAAACTAAGTGGGAGATATTAAGGTCAGCCCCAATCTAGGCCAGCTTGCCTCCCAGGTGTCGCTGTCTGCTAATCCTTTATGCTAACTGCAAACCGGGCGCCGACTCAGAGCTGTCCCCACGCCACCTCGGAGGGCGGGCCCCACGGTATCCACGCAGGTTTCCTCCTCACCCCACATGGTGTCCTCCGTGTGTGAGGCCAGGCGGCAGTGAAAGTACGAGTGAGGGTTAGGGAGAGGTCGGGGGAAGCGGTACTGTCATTTTAGGCACGGTGGTCACCAGGGGCCCTCTCCCGTGGGCAACGTGTGGGCAGACCCCCGCGGCAAGGAGGGGAGCGAGCCACTGGCTCTCTGGGGAAAGGCGGTCCGGACCGCGGCGCTGGGCGCGCGCCCCGCATGCCAGGGAAGAGAAAGTGGAGTATCAGCAACAGTGCGAGAACAGAGGAAGCCGTTAGCAGCGTCCGGCTTCATCCGAACCGTGGCACCCGGGGCACACCACCCAGGACCAGCTCAGCACCCGGGGCCTGCCCTGGCTGCGTGCTACCTGAGGAGGCAGGTTCGGAGGCGATGTGCGATCGCATTGGGCCGACTTCGCATTCCCACTCCCAAGTGCAGAACCGAAGGCTCTTAGAAGGATCACGTCCCCGTAGAACTGCCTCCTTCTCCGGTTCCCAGGGGTCCGTGGGACACCGTAACCGCACGGCGAGGAGCAGGTTCCCAGGTCCCTCCCCGGCTTCGCGTTTCCCGCGGACCCCGCATCCCTCCAGGCCCAGCTCCTAGCCTTGGACTCCCTTCGCGTTAGAGCTGCCTGAACCCCGCCCCGCCTCATAGTAGTGGGACAGGCCCTGCCCCTGAGGCCGAGACTCCGCCCCTATCTTTATATATAAATAGCTGAGAGTCAACGGTTGGTCTGAGTCCGAGACCTCGTTTCCTAATTGGTTGTGGTGCTCGGCCGGCTTCACTAGAGAGGATGATCCGGAAGTGATTCCAGGAGCGCGGGCCGCGTGGATCGTCTGCTGTGAGTCGGTACCGCGGTCGCTGAGATGACCAAAATAAAGGGAGATCCCGATGTGCAGGAGCCTCAGGCGGAGGCATGCTCCGGGGAGCGCACTTACCAGGAGCTGCTGGTGAACCTGAACCCCATCGCACAGCCTCTGGCTTCTCGCCGCCTCACTCGGAAGCTCTACAAATGCATCAAGAAAGGTCCGGCGGGCGCCGCGTTGGCCCGTGGGGACGTGGGTGATGGGACGAGGCCCCCTTGACTAACCCTTCTGTCGTTTCAGCCGTGAAACAGAAGCAGATTTGGCGCGGGGTGAAGGAGGTTCAGAAGTTTGTCAACAAAGGCGAGAAAGGGTAAGAACCCACTCCCGCATTTTAAATGGTAATGAAGGTATTCCTACTATTTATTTTATTTAATGATTTTGTTAATTTGTAGAGAAAGGGAGAGAAACATCAATGTGTGGTTGCCTCTGGAGCACCCCCCCCCCCCCACTAGAGACCTGCCCGGCAACCTAGGCATGTGCCCTGACTGGGAATGGAACCAGTGACCCTTTCACAGGCCGGCATTCAGTCCACTGAGCCACACCAGCCCGCGCAGTATCAGTGCTATTTCATAGGTGCTCAGTAAAAGTGTGTTAACTCTATTAGAAAATAATCAAGCAGTCAGTAAATTACCTTCACTACAGTGAACCAGTATGTCACTTCACTTACCCTAGCTCAAAAGGACACCAAGGGGAAAATGAATTCCAGGAGAAGTAAATCGAATGAGGCAGCCTCATTTATTCAGCTACTATTTCAGTGTCTGTTCTTTTAGGCACTGTGCCATGGAGAGACAATGACTTCAATCAGATTTCACACAAAAAGTTAAAAGTTGTGACAGCTAACTATGAAGGAAAAGTAAAAAGTACAGGATGCGATGAGAGACTCCATTACCCTACATCTTTTTCTGGCATTTGTCAGAATCTGAAATTCACTTGCATTTTTATTTCTTGTATCTCGCACTTAGGCCAGACTGTAGGCTCTTTGAGAATTGGATACAGCCTCTCCCCGCTTTGTCCCCAGAAGTGTCTGGTACCTTGTAGGTTTTCAGGAGGCAGATTGCTGGGGAGATTTGATGCTCAATGGGGGAGTCTTACCTAGGCCCGGGTAGTTGAGATCTGAAGATGGAGGGGAGGAGCCCTACCAGAAGAAAGTAGGTCCCAGGGCAGGAGAGGGTGCTGGTGGGCAGAAGTGCTATCTTCTCAGGGGGTTTTGTGAGCCAGGGTAAGTGAAGTTTTTGTGTTCAGAGCTTTGGGAGTGCACTGAGGGTTAAAGCCAGGGAATGTCCCCTTTGGAACGGGTCAGAGGCTTAGGAGCACTGAAACAGGCCACTGTAATCTGGAAGAGGTAAGGGTGATTTTCATTAGGTTGGAGACGGAGAGAACTAAAGTGGCTGTATCCGAGAGCACTTTAGGAGGTGGAGTAAGGGGGCGTCGACTTCAGCTGAATGGGTAGAAGGCCCTCTCACTGAGATAGTGAACCGTGGAGGGGCTGGGTTTGTGTCTGATTTCAGACAATTTGGGGTGCCTTTTAGACTTGTGACCCCTCTCCCTAGCAGGGCTGTTCATTAGGCAGACGGGTGGCAAGCTTAGAAGAGAGAGCCAGACTGGAGAGAATAGATCTGGGAGTTGTCGGCATGTACTTGGGACTTGATGCCAGGGCCATGAATGGGCTCTGCAAGAAGGTAATGAGAGGGCAGCCGAGCACCAGGCTGTAAGGAGCACCAGCATTTAAAAGCTACTCAAAGAGAGGAGCCTGCAGAGGAGGAGAGTCCAGGAGGCAAGAGGAAAACTAGGAGTGTGTGGACCCAGGATGTGGAACCAAGAGCTCTCTTCAGGGCTCCAGCGGCCCTTGCCAAAGCCCTGACACCTTGCCAGCTAGGAACCCTAGCTGACTATGTCACTTTTAGGACTGAGCCCACGCTTCTTAGCCTGGCACTCAAGGCCCTTAGGTGTGACCCCTGCCAATCTCTCTGGTCTTCTTGTCTGACCCTGTCTTCATCCTGGATTCCAAAGCCACCCCAGGCTGCCATCAGCCAGCCTCCGTGTATCTGGTACCATTCTGATTCTCCTTAAAAGCTTTCCCTGCCCCCCACCCTTCAGGGCCTTCCAGGCAGTCATTATTCAGCTGTCTCTTCAGGTGTGGCCTCCTGGTTCCCTTCTCACTCTCCAGACAGTTGCGCTCTTATTCCTTAGGGTTCCTGCTACACCTGATTTGCCCCAGTGCAATACCACTTTTCACACTCAGTGATGTTTGTTGCCAAGAAATAGAGATCACCTCCCCAGAGGAACCCAGTCACCAAACAAATCTACACTTTCAGAGGCTGGGCAACCCACATTAATAGCTGAGCTCTTTGCAGGCAAGGACCATCTTATCTGGGCCTGTACCCCAAAGGCCAAAGAGGGAATGAGCAGCTAGAAATGACTGTTTCTGCCATTTCAGGATCATGGTTCTGGCAGGAGACACATTGCCCATTGAGGTATACTGCCACCTCCCAATTATGTGTGAGGACCGGAATCTGCCCTATGTCTATATCCCCTCTAAGACGGTAAGGAGCACCTGAGCCCTGATCCGGGTCAGCATTGGAGGAGAGGGTCTGGGATGGGGTCTGCAGCAGGCCATAGTGGAGAGTGTGAGCTTAATATGGGCCTGTGTGGATTCTTGGTTCTGCTGCTTCCTGGGTGGGAGACTGCTGGTAAATTACCTCTTGGCACTTCCGTTTCCTTCTCGTAACATGGGAATCCCCTCCTCTGCAGCCTGTGCGAATGAAACGAAGTTTATATGGACGTGCTTTTGTCAGCTAACACGCTGCACCCATGTTAGTCCTGCTAGGTGGGTGCGGTGCTCAGAGGGGGTGTTTTATAGAGACCTGGCTTCTTCTAGTGTAGCAGGAGCCAGGTCTGGGACACAGGGAGTGGGTGATGATAGGAACCTTGGACAGCATGGGCCCTCGGGGGATAGCCCTCACCAGGCTGAGGCCCTTCCACCATTGCCATGTGGGAATGCTGGCCCAGTGTTGCTGGACCACTTGGAAGTTTGCTGACTTTAAATAATGGCAACCAACTCAAAATGTTTTAAATACGTTGACATATTTAAAATATGTGTCAACACGTCAAACAGCACATCTGTCAGATAGATGAAGCCAGTGGGCCATCATTACGTGACCCCCAGCCTAAAGGTACAAGGCCGTTTCCCAAACAGCCTGTCTTTCTCCCTATAGGATCTGGGTGCAGCCGCAGGCTCCAAGCGCCCCACCTGCGTGATAATGGTCAAACCCCACGAGGAGTACCAGGAGGCATATAACGAGTGCCTGGAGGAGGTGCAAGCCCTGCCCCCACCCATCTGAAAGCCTTGGGCAGCAGCCTGGGCACCTGCTCCAGAAGCTGTTGGACTGGCAGGGGGCCACCTGGGCTGCCCTCCTGCTGTGCACACCCAGCATCTCCCAGTCTCCTGAAGCATGTATTTTCCTAGGCAGCTCTGACAGCTTCTCCCCCAGTGCTGTTTCCTGTTGAGTTTCCTGGCACTCAGTTCCAAGAATGAGGTGTGAAGGGAAGTAAATGCTAAGACTAAAATGTGATGAGCCTGTGGGTGTTTCTTAAAGCAGAAGCTGCTGGTGGGGCCAAGGAGTTGGTGAGCAGGAAAGACTAGAGCAGCCTTTCTCACCAGAGGACCTGAAGGACTTGACAGGTGTTTGGCACTGATGCCTGGCTGCCAGGGTTGGTGCTAGACTCATGCTGAGAACAGACTTGGCTGCCACCCCTGAAACTTCACCTCCCACTACAAGAGCAGGGGGGAGCTGCAGGATAAGGCAGCCGAGCCCAGACCCCACTGTGGAAGCCTGCAGCCTCTGTGGTGGGGACATACCAGCCCTTGAGCCTTGAGTGTCACTGGAAACTTACGGAAGCAACTGGCCTACCCACACAGGGCATTTTAAAAATGAATATGAAGCTAAATCCAAAACCCTAGGCCTTCTCTCTGGCTTGGCAAAGTGGCCCTGGTAATCCAGTCCCTTCCAATGTTTTATGCTTCAGGTACCTACCTTCCTGCTCTCAAGGCCGGCACAGGGTTCAGTGTACGCAGTGTACAGAGCAACCAGGCTTCAGGTACCCTGGAGTAAACTGGAAAGAGCTTGGGTTTATCCTGATCTAAACCCCAAGCTCTCCCTGACAGGCCGTGAGTCCTGTGGTACAAGTCATGTCATCTTGCAAATACCCCTGTGCTGACTTGTAGCATGGAGATGATGTGATTTTATGGATGGGCATGTAAAGGCACCTTCGCCAGGGCCTGACGGCTCCCAGCCTCTGCACCCCAGAAGAGATGGCAGGTCGGGTTCTTGCAACTGGGCACTGGCCGCCATGGTCCCAGTAGCAGCAGCCACCAGGCCAATACCTCTGTGCAGTGGACATGTAGGAATTATTTGTTGGTGAAAGCTAAGGGAAGGAGAAGGCCTGTGAATATATTTGCTCAGTTACAAACTAATGGCATTCAGTTCTAACCCGGAGTATTTACAGTGGGCGATGGACACAGTAGTGAGGCTGTGCAGCAAGGGGGGGGGGGAACCTGGTAGAGGGCGCGATGGAAGACTTGCTGCTGCTGCCCGAGTCCTCTGCTCCTCTCTCGGTTGCTACCAAGTCAGTGGCAACAGAAACAGGGAGACGGTGGGATCTAGAAGCCAGCATTTCCCTGTTGGGACAGTCCAGCAGCCAGCTGTCCGGTGCAGGCGGGTTCGCCTCCCTCTTGGGCCCCTGCTGTGGTGACACTCAGCCAGCTGGCTGCTCTGAAATGAACCACCATCCACTGAAGCCAACCACCCCATGAGGCAGCAAGGCTCATGGGTGCAAAACTTGTTTAAACCAAGTTCCTTCCGGGCAGGAGTCAGAATATGATGCGTTTCCCATCAGCTGGGTTCTGCTCCACAGGGCAGTAGGGACACTTCAGCCTGCAAGAGAGAAGAACCAAGAACGTCTGAGGGGCTGCCAGTAGGGGAGCCAAGCCAGAAAGGAAGAGCACAGGGCACTTACTTTCCTCCATTAACGAGTTTGTTAAGTGCATCTTGTGAGATGACGTGGCCACAGAGGAGCTTGATGGGGGGGTTGGACTCCGACGTCTGCTGGCGTAGGATGGGGCAGGCGAACACCGAGTGGAACCAGCACTTCATGCCGAGTTCAATCTCAATCTGGGGGGGGCCAGCCCAGGGGTGAGTGAGTCCCACGTCCTGCTGTGGCCATCCTCCCCAGTGCCTGCTACCCACACCTCAGCCAGGGCTCACCGGTAGCTCGTCCTTGTGGCTCCAGACCCCCGTGCACTGCCTCTGCTCAATCACGGCTTTGATGTTCATCAGCATGGGCAGTGCCACGCAGCCAGAGGCAAAGCTGCAGAACAGAAAACGGGCTGGAGTGGCCAGACCAAGACCCCGGCAGACAAATGGAAGGGCCAGCACATGTCATTGGTACGGGACTCAGGTCAGGGTTCTAGTGGCACATGGCCCTGGCTGGTGTAGCTCAATGGATTGAGTATGGGCCTGTGAACCAAAGGATCGCGGTTCGATTTCCAGTCAGGGCACATGCCTCAGTTGCAGGCCAGTTCCCAGCAGGGGACGCACGAAAGGCAACCATACACTGATATTTCTCTCCCTCTCTCCTTCCCTTTCCCTCCTCTCTAAAAATAAATAAAACCTTTAAAGTGGCACATGGTCCTTGAGACTCTGCCAGGTTGCTCATAAAGTGCCACATATGTAGTCACACGTGTCCAACTTGAGTTGTTCCAATGCACCTCAAAACTAAGAATCTGCCCTGGCTGGTGTGGCTTAGTGGACTGAGTGCCAGCCTGTGAACCGAAGGTTGCTGGTTCGATTCCAGGTCAGGGCACCTGTCTAGGTTGTGGGCCAGGTCCCCGATTAGGGGCATGAGAGGCAACCAATCTGTTTCTCTCACTCTTTCTCCCTCCCTTGCCCTCTCTCTAAAAATAAGTAAAATCTTTTAAGAACAAAAAACTTAACCTACAGGAGAGACAAAAGGAAGACCCAGGGGCAAGTACATCCAGACCACTGAGAAGTCCTTGGTGTGAAGGGGACTGTGCCCAGTGTGAAAGGCACACACTGTGGCTGTGCGCCTCTGACCGGCTCTCAGCCGGGGTGCAGAAACGGCACAGCTTCAGACCTCCCTGTGCGGTGGGTGGGGGTGGGAGCCAACAGGCTGGAGCTTCGGGTGCTAGACCCCGACAAGGCAGAGGGCAGCCGTCCTGCGTGAAGTGCAGGCGGTGATCCTGCCGGGAAACGCTGTCCTCAACCAGAGCCCAGCACCAGTCTCAGGAAACGCACTGTGGCTCTGTGTGTGGCGCAGCAAGGGGCCCCGGGGGCAGGTCCGCGTGCCCTTTATTCCCTGTGAGGCCTGAGGCAAGTTCATTCACATCTGGAGCCTATGTTCTCTCTTCTGGGAAGTGAGGATGTAGTACCTCTAACTCCTAGGTCACTGTGGAATCACGAGAAGAGCATTACTGTACAGGAGACTTCTAGTGAAAACTCTCAAAACCTGTTAACTCAGCCACTCAAATCTACCGGAGAGGAGGCCGTGTTTGAGAGGCAAGGCTGGGGGAAGGCTGGGTGCGGAGGGTCTTGTGATAATCCCGCAGTGAGGTGCAGGCAAGATGAGGGCCTCCTTCAAGAGGACTTACAGGATAGGAACCTTGACCTTGCTGCAAACCTCACGGTGACCTCTGGTCATAACTTCCTAATCTCAGTTTCTCCAACTGTGGACACAGATCACTCCTATCTGAAGAAGGACTCAGAGAGCCAGTGCTGGGCTGCGAAGGCACCGAGCACAGTCCCCAGCACATGGCAGGGCCTTGCAAACGGTTCCCCTTGAAGTCCTCCCACTCACGCTACCCTGTGCGTAGGGCTGCTGTACCTGACACTGAGGGGCGACTCCACAGAAAGCCCCAGCAGGGAACAAGCATCGCGGGTAAAGGTCTCACAGATCTCAGCCCAGTGGCTGTTGTCCAGCAGGTGGCAGTAGGGCGACTTCTCCAAGCCTAACCGCAGGTACACCAGACTGCCCATCATCACCTGGATGTCTACAAGGCAACCGGTGCAGCTCAGAAAGTGCAAGGCCCAGGAGGCAGCCTCTCCTGAGGGCTGGGAGCCCAGCCCCAGGAGCAGCGGGGCCGAGGGGGGCAGGACGGGAAGTGGGCAGGGCCAGCGGCATGGCCGGGCCGGGGCAGGGACTGAAATGCCCTCCGACAAAACCAATTCTCACTGAAATCCCATGGGACTGCTTCCGTGGGACAAGGCCAGGCACCACCCTCCGCACGAGGATGGAGGGTCTCAGCTCCCTTCTCGTCCCTCAACTGCACCAGGGAACGGACCTTGAGTCTCAAGTCTCGGGGTGGCACTCACATGTGCTTGCCAACACTGGCTAATGTATTTCTTTTTAAAGAACCTCCAGGAGATATCTAGCTGAAGTTTAATTAGACTGCTTAGTGAGAACCCGAGTGTGGTTCTAAGATGAAGCCAGAAGGGTGTGACAGGCAGAGGAGGATGACCTGAGTCTTGAGTCCCCCTTGGAGACACTGAAGGAAGGGTCAGAGTTCTCAGGCTGGGGAGCTGCACCCTGGTGATGCGCTGACATCCGCCGGGGCAGCAGCACCCACCCTGGGCACCTACCTCGCTGGTGCAGCCGAGCAAAGGGCTGGAAGTGCCTGGCGTAGCTGAGGGCCTCCAGCTGCTTGTCAGGGCCCCCAGCCAGGAGGTGAATAAAGTGCAGTCGGTGCAGCTTGAACTCCAGGGAGCTGTTGAGCTCGAGCAGAGGCTGCCTGTGGGAGACGGCCCATCTGCCGAGAAAGGGGCCAATTGAGCGTGGGGCTGGTGGGACAAGAGGAGGAGTGCCAGGGCAGCCAGGGCAGAGAGGTGGTCTCCAGAGGCCTGTCTGAGGGCACAGGCAGAGCTGGGGTACGTCAATATGCTGGGTGAGTGAAGACCACAGATAAGCTCTGTCCCTTACTGGTCCGTCCCAGGGCCCACTTACTCCAAGGCCGGCCCCAGGTCATGTCTGTGCAGGGCTTCTAGGATTCGATTCAACTCCAGGAAAGGCTGCTTGAAATCCAAGTCCACGTTCAGTGTGGACTCCTGCGGGAGAGCATGGTCCCATCACCGGAGGACACTGTTTCCAAAATGCTCTGCTCTAAGAAACCCTCACCTGCCACAGGCAGGCTGGAGAGAGCCAGGGTCTGCGTGAGGAGCAGTTGTCACCTGCCTGCCATGTGGCCACTCTCAGCCCCACTTTCATCCTGGGATGCTGAGTGCCACACTCCGGCCTCCCTCAGGGCAGACCAGCACCTCAGCTGGGCTCAGGGAGACAGCCCCCCAGCCCTGTGTTGAGCAGCATGGTGAGAAAGTATTCCTTTCAAATCCTCTTAGTCCCTTTATGAGAAGGGGTCCTTTACCTTCACTGCCTGTGCGCTTTAACCGAACAGTGCTGCTCTGTCATCTTACTAACCTCCCTCCCTAAGAGAGGGGGCCCAGGCCTCGCTCGGAACCCCGACTGGCACCAGACCCCAGCCAGAAATAACTGCCTTCCCTTTTCGCCATCTCTATTTTCTAGAGCTACCTTCTATTTATGGCTGGAGGCCTGATTTCCTTTCTAAAATAAACTGATTTCAAGAATAACAGGAGTGAATACAAAGAAAACTACAGAGCAGAAAGCAGAGCAGGCCGGAGCCAGCGCCCTTCCCGCCGGGCCCTCACCTGGCACAGCTCCTCGGCCACACTGAGCATGCCCTGCTGGTACAGGTGCTCCACGATGGCCAGCTGCAGGGTCTGCTGCTGCTTCTCCTGCGAGTCCCACACGGCATCCGAGACCACACCGCAAATCTCAGAGTCAAAGTTCTGACGGGGACGAGAGACGGGGCCCTGTGACTCAGCACTCACCCTCCCACGCCTGCCTTCCTGATGGGCCGAGGGACACGCCAACTCCAGGATCCCCCCCCCCACCGTCTGCACGCACACACTCACCCTGTCAATGGCCTTGCCCACTCGGGAGACGCTGCCGTGAATGTCCTTGTGGTCCAAAGCCAGTTTCTGCACGGCGTCTCTGATCTTCTGGCAGCACTGGGACATCACCGAGGACAGGGTCGCTGAGAGCGAGGTACCCTGGAGGGCTGCAGAGAAACTGGCCATCAGTCAAGACACGGAGGCAGAACCTGTCCCTGCTTCCTCTGTCCCACACGCTGCCTGTAGGCCTAGGAGGCAGCCTGAACTCCGGGGGTGAAAGACGTGGCTTCTGTCTCAGGTACTGTCAGCTCCGAACTGCATGAGGGGAGCTGGCCGCATCATCTGTGGGGCAGATACTTTGTTTCCGCT